TGATCCCCTTTGTGCAGCTGCCCTGCTGCAGCCTGCCCACTGCTGCGCTGCTGCTGCAGACCAGCTGCCCAGCCCGTGCTCCTGCTCCGCTCCTTCCCACCTGGGAGCTGCTGGGGTCCCTGTTGCTGGGGTGCTGCTGGGGACAGAAGGCTGCCCCTCTCCAGGCCATGGCCCACCAGGGACACACACCCAAGTGTGCAGCAGTGAGTGCAGGCAAGGCCAGGCACCAGCCTGGGGCAGGGAAAACACACACTCACCCACGCTCCGAGTGGGGACTGCTGCAGCATTCTCCCCCTGCTGCCGTCCTCCCCTCACCCTGGGCCGAGCTGTCCTCATGGCATGACACAGCCCCTGCCTCGGGGTGTGTGAGGCTGCAGCCCTCACGCCCTTATGCTGGGGGCATTGCTGGATGCTGGATGCATTGCTCCTGGGGTCCCCAGCTCCCAGCCAGGATGCCCGTCACCCCATGGCTATGGCCCCCCAGCTCACCCACCACCCTCCAGGTGCACAGCCTGCAGGAGCTGCGGCGCAGCGCGTCCCTGGCCACCAAGGTCTTCGTGCAGCGGGATTACAGCGATGGGACCACGTGCCAGTTCCAGACAAAGTTCCCCCCTGAGCTGGAGAGCCGGGTAGGGAGCCTGACAGGTCGACAGCGTGGGGGATGCCCTGCGCTGGTGCCCTGTGGGGGCTCAGGGGGGAGAAGGGTCTGAAGGCCCAGGGCCCCCATGGGGTGTTGTATGGCCCTGGGCCAGCCAAGGCTGCTGGGTGCATGCAATCACAGCTGCCTTGCCTGGTCTGCGAGGACATGGGTCCTCTGGGGCTCTGGGGAAGGTCTGCAGGCTCAGCAGGTCTGGCATGGGCAGGAGGTGGGCAGGGTTCAAGGACCTGAGGCATCAGCTGGGCAGGGAGGAGAGGGTTAAATGTTCCCCAAGTCCCCCCGGGCATGGCAACAGGGCAGTGCAGGGGGCCAGCCTCGGGACAGACTCCTCTTCATCCTGGTTTCTGCTCTAGATCGAGCGGCAGCTCTTCGAGGAAACCGTGAAAACCCTTAATGGCTTCTATGCTGAGGCGGAGAAGATTGGGGGAAGCTCATACCTGGAGGGGTGCCTGGCCTGCGCCACTGCCTATTTTATCTTCCTCTGCATGGAGACGCACTATGAGAAGGTGCTGAGGTCTGGGGGAGATCTTGGGGACAGGCATGGCTGGGGGCCTGGCAGTGGGCATGGGGATGGCACAGGGAGCAGGGGCTGGAGGTAGAGCAGGTGGCAGCGCTGGCAAGCCCTGAGTGTCCCTCCGTGTGCCTGCAGGTCCTGAAGAAGATCTCTAAGTACATCCAGGAGCAGAACGAGAAGATCTACGCGCCACGGGGACTGCTGCTCACTGACCCTCTGGAACGTGGCATGAGGGTGGTATCCTCTGGGCAGTGGGGTGCTGGGGGGGATAACAAAGGCGAGAGGTGGGGGGACACCAGGAGCGGGTGCTGGGCAATTGGGCTAGCCCATCTTGCTGATGATCCTTATCAGGCCCCAGATCGAGATCTCCATCTACGAGGACC